TGTTGTTATTATATCATTTCACACACATCACACGTCACTGTTGATTTTTGAGTGCAATTTCCTTTGATGTAATAACACTCTCCCTTTTCTATAATTAACGATTCGTTGCACAAAATACATGTCTTATCGACTTGTTTGATACATCCAACTTGATTTGGTGAACCGTTATTTGTTGTTGAATTGTAGTGGTAGCTATTATTGTTAGCATCGATACACGACAATTTATTATCATTCAAAATGTATGGCGCAAAGCAGAGAGTGCAATGGATAGTTCCATTATTGTAATCACACGTCTTACAATTCGGAATTTTTTCATAACAATTGACACAACTTACAGTCCCACTTTTGACAATCCCTTCTGCACATAATGCACAACTGTCGCCAGTTGATATATAACTTCCACTACACTCGTAACAACTTTTAGTTGTTCTTGAACATCTTATACATTTTGTGTTAATTTCGGTACACAAATAACAGGAACCTTCATACAAATAATTATCTTCTTCACATGAAGAACACTTTCTTGCACTTTCAATTATATTTGAATCACAGGAAAGACACTTCCCTGTATCAGAACAAGACACACATTCGTCGCCGACTCTCTTTAACCCATTTTTACATGAAGAACACGTGCCACTTTCTTTGATACACGTTTGACACTCGGATGGACAATTTACACACACGGAATTGCCTCCAAGTGAGTACTTACCCTCTTCACATGAGGTACATACACTATTTATTAATTCATGTCCAGCAACACATGTAATGCAATTTCCAGTCGTTTTTGAACAAGTTTGACAAATTGAGTCACAGGGTTTACACACAAGTTGACCAGTTTTGTCCTGATATGTTCCTTCACTACAACTTGTACATTTTCCATTAGAAAGTGATGTACCTATTGGACATAAGTTACAATTACCGTTTGAACTCAATGCATTGCCATAATAACATGAAGTGCATTTCCCATTTGTTTTATCACAAGTCAAACAAGATGAAACGCATTTAAAACACATAGAATTTCCAGATGAAGACCAATAATTTGTTGGACATTGATCACAAGACGATGCACCATTTAATGAATAAGTACCAGCAAGACAAGTAAGACAATATGATTGTTTTAAATTTGTATATGTACCAGCTAAACATATTGAACATTTTCCATTGTTTAAAATATAGCCAGGAAGACAATCTACACAATTACCTGTCTTTTTCTCACATGGACTTTTACAAATACCGTTACATGGAGTACATGATATACTTCCCGTAATATTCGAAAAGGTTCTATCAGAGCATTCCATACAACTTGAAGTATTTGTGGATGATGAAAATGTACCCGTTTGACATTGTAAACACTGGTAATTTTGACTGTAATATCCCTTTGCACATTCTACACAGGTTTTCCCATTTTTAGCCATCCCGTCATAACAAGACAAACAATTTCCATTTGTGTTATCACAGCTTTTACAGCTGGTGTCGCAATTTGTACACACACTTTTACCTCCAGTCGAATATGTTAATAAAGGACACGTTACACATTTGTTATTTGAAGAGCACGTTCCAGCAGAACAAGCTACACAATTACCTCCAGAAACTATATAACCAGAATAACATGTTAGACATTGACCAGTGGTTTTAGAACACGTTTTACATAATGAATCGCAATTGGTACAAGTCGAAGAACCAGAATGTGATGAATACGTTCCTTCTTCACATTGAGAACAGGAATTCTGTCCTCCTTTTGAATAATATCCAGCATCGCACGCAAGACACTGACCAGAAGTTGAAACAAAATTATATCCAGAATAACATGAAGTACATTTCCCATTTTCATTATTACAAGTTTTACAAGATGAATCGCATTTGGTACAGGAAGAAGATGTCGTTGTAGACCAATAATTTGTTTGACAAGTGATACAAAAAGAAGCTCCACTTTGTGAATAAGTACCAGCAGAACAACTTGAACAGTATTGTTGTTTTGAATCTGTACATGTTCCAGCTGGACATATTTTACATTTTCCATTGTTTAAAACATACCCAGAAATACAATCATTACAATTACCATTTGTGTTGGAACATGAACTTTTACATGTACTACTACACTGTGAACAATAACTATCGCCTCCAGTGGAATATGTTAATGTAGGACACGTTTCACATACACCATTTTCAGAGTACGTTCCAGCAGGGCATTCAAGACATTGAGAATTTGACAAGTAATACCCACCAATACACACTTTACATACATCTGCCGTATTAAAACAAGTTACACACAAAGAATTGCATTTGAAACATTCTGACGATCCATATGAAGAAGTGTAATAACCTTCAGCGCACATTTTATATCCACCAGTTCCACCTTGTGAATAATAGCCAGGCTGACACGATGAACACTTACTAGATGTTGCATAAAACCCTTTTCCTGGCTGACATGATGTACATAGTCCATTTTTTGGGTTACATGAGAGACATGATAAGTCACATTGTTTACATTGAGATGCACTTCCCAACGAATATTGTAAATTGGGACAATTGTAACAAACAGAATCGTCTGATCCTGGAGAATAAGTACCAGCTTCGCAGTACTCACAGTTTCCATTTACGTAATATTGACCAGGTAAACATCCAAGTCGTTTAAGTGTTGTCGTTCGAGCATTATTTTGTGGATAAGTTGCATTCACTTAATATATTTAATATAAATGTAATAAAACAAAAAATATCATACAATATGATTAACAATCGTAAACTGTAGTTCAAAAGTCTGAAACGCCGTATTTATAGATCTTCTTAAAGTCCCGTTTTTTATTTTTGTTTTTTCCTAAAAAACAAAAAAAACAAAAAATCGAAAGTACAGACTTAATTTTGAAAAAAATACCAATCCCGTTCAATTATTAACGTACAAATTCGGGAAAATATCGGAATATTAGCCAGCCTTTTCCAAAAAACCCGATACCGTTATTTGATTAGACAAAAATTGGATATTCTACTAGACAACACACACTGTATAGTTGTGCTAATTACACAACAACAAACATCTCAGTGAATTGAATCTGAATCATTTATGTCAAAATACTAAAAATCAATTTCGTTAAATTTTTATTTCAAACAAAAAAAACAAATTCGAGGTTTCTCTTTCAACACAAATAATAATATAATTTTGAGTTCTAAAAACCAAAAAAACAATAAATTAAAGCAAATGTCCTATAAATTTTACTTGATTCTCGATGCATAAATTAAATCGTTTTGAAATTGAATCAATTGTTTGTTTTACTACAATTTGAATATGTTCTCTGGACACTTTTTTTGGTCGACCCAATTTTTTTGGTTTTGCCTCTCCCCCTCTTTTTAATTCAGATACTATGGTTTTTGAAAATCCAACTATTTTTGCGACGGCACTGTAAGAATAATTTTCTTCGAGCAACGCTTTTGCTTTTGCCATTTTTTTCTGATAAATAAAGGTTTGACTTTGAAAGTTTTGACATATAATAATTATCATTTTTTTAAAAAAAATGCACTTTTGGGATCATTTGTGTGTTTTTATAAAACAAAAATACCATTATTTCATATTTTATATGGAAGTTTTTTTATGCTTAAAAATTCTTCAGGTAAAAAAAAATATTTTGAAGACCGTTTTTTTCTATTTTACTCAGAAAAATAATCAAATTTAAACAAAAAATTCGTTTCCCAAAAATAATACTCAAAATAAAAGCAAATTTGGGGGTCACTTCGTTACAGACTTTTGAAAAACAGTTTAATTTTCAGAAAAAATATTTTTTATTAAGGATAGCTTTGATCCTGAGGATACATTTTATCTTCAAGAAATTCTTTATTATCTTGTTTTTTACTCACAACAAAGGGGAAACTCTATTCTTTAACAATAACAAAAACAAAAAGTAGTATTAGGTTATAAGAATGACTTTAATAAAAAATAAGCAAACAAAAAATAATTTAAAAAGTTTATATTGACAGTTTTAAACAACGAATATTTTATTAACTTTAAAAAACCTAACCATTCAGTTTCCAATTTGATTTTATAGCTTCATTCCTTCAACACTGTCCTGCATACTACCAAATATTTATTTTACGTGGAAAATTTCATTTTCTAAAACACAAATGGATTTTTCATCGTCGCCTAATTATTTTATTTTCAAAAATTTTTTTCGCTTCAATCATAAATTAAACTTCCTCGCCTTTAATAGTCAATGGTTCATTTTAATTGCTTTAAGTGGGTGGAAAGTTTTTATTTACAATTTTATTGGAACGATTATTAACGTGTTGAATTGTTTAAACTGAAACATTTTAATTTGACTTAAAATACACTATCATAATTTAACAGCTGCATGCAAACTTCACAACATCTCCAATATTTATTTTTTTGAATCATGTATTTGTTATTCTCGTGTTTTGAGGCGAGATATTAATACGATAATAACTACATAATATTATTTTGTAACGGGTTTTCATTACCATTATTATTCCTTAATCACATGGCTATTTCTAATTAATATTTACACATGGTATATATAATGTTTCTAATATAAAAAATAAAAATAATGTTTGTAAAAAACATAAAAAAAGTTTTAAAAAAAAACACTATTGAGGAGTTTTATTATCTTATATAGGTGTTATAATATATAAATAATCGGGAAAATACAACAAAAATTGACAATTTTGTAAATAAAATACAAGTTTTAAATGTTTTTTTAGATATTTCACATATGAAAAATACCACAACACAAATAATGCCGATCAACAACAATTTGTTTATCAATTAATTATATTTAAAGTCGGAACAAGGTTTCCTTTTCTAGTGTAAAAATTTGCTTTTAAGCAAAAAATGGACAAAACGATTCATTTTTTACCTTGAAATTAAATCAAAAATAGATTTTTTTGTTTAACTTCCGTTTTGGTAAACAAAAGTCTTTGATTGCCATCCTATATTTTATTAAGAAAAATAACACGTATAAAACACATAAAAAAGCGGGCATAAATTTGGTCATTTTTTGAAAAGTTTGAAGGCAAAAAAATATGATAATCTCGATTATCCACAATTTAGAAAAGCGTGTAATTGGTATGGTTATTAACTTTTGTTTGGATGATAGTCAGATGTATGGTTCTACAATCAAGTTATCATGCAGTCAAATCCACTAAAAAAAACTTACAAATTTTAATTATTTTTAAAAAAATTCTAATAGTACTTATTATAATATTTATTATAATACAAATCCTAACAATTTGACACACAACTACCATTTTATAATTATCTTTCTTTTATGTATCAAATCATGGTTCGAAAAACCACTGCATGTTGTTCATTTTACACAATTCAAAAAGAGAAAGATAATAAAATTTACTTTCCGGCACACTGAATACGACAGTTGATATTAAAGTGATTGAAAGACTTTTTTGATTACTTTTTTCTAAATAAAATAATCTTATATAGATATTTTAATTATAACTACTAAAATACTATAAAATACTATAATATAATTAATAAAATAATAATAATTTAATATATTATAATATTACATTATACTAAATTAAACCACATCATAATTATATTATACAATATATTTTATTATTATTTCATTTGATGTTATAAATTAATATTATATATATTATAATTATATTAAATTAATATATATTCATAAAATTATTAAAAAATAAAAAGACATTTAACAATGTAAAATATGTAAACACAATAATAATCAACACATTTGTTGAGAATCAAAAGCAAAACAACAACTAGTTAATATTTCAATAAATCGTATTAATCACGTTTTTAACATTTTTATCTATTTTACAATAATTTTTATGTTGTGTAAATATCTTTAATAACGTTGTAACATCAAGTTGTCTCGAGTTTACATATCAATAATCAAATATTTATTAATGTTGTTTAATATTGTTTGGCTTTTAAAGCACCTTCTCAACAAGAATATTTGTTGTTTGTACCAAATGAGAAATAGTAATACTGAGTTTATTATATCATATTCTTGTAATTGATGTGTAAATATCAATATCTTAAACAACAAGTCAAATCCAATGATGGTGATTTAAACAAACTATAATGTTTATTAAATTTGATGATATAATGTTAGGAGTAGTTTGATATTTTTGTGTTTGTTATAACGCGTGTTTAACTTGTTGCAAACTTTAAAATGAAGATATTACAATTGTGTTATTATAGATAAAATCAACGATATCATAATAAGAAAATATATGTTATAACAATATAATCACAACAACATTATCTATTTTCATTGATATGTTTTAAATTTGTGTTGTTCGATAAAAAGTTTTACATAGCAACATTTTTAATAAAAACTGCATTTATTTTTAAGTCGCTTTGGATGTTAAAATATGTGGATATATATTAAGTTTTGCATTAAAAACTTATAAACAAATACCTCCATATTTGTCAACATGATAAGATTGTCTACTTTTGTTAATACTTTTAATATTTTGATATTATTTTACAAGGATCAATTACATATTTTTACCGTTTTATACATAAATAAAAGACCAATGCAATGTGATGTTATAAATGTTGTAATTACCTAATCGATAAACGATCAATTGTTTAATGTGTTTATTGCAAAGTATTTTTTATATTATATTGATCAATCTATCAAGAAATAAAAACACTACATAAGTTATTGTGGTTCGATTGTTTTGATTATATACAATTATTATTTGCATTGACTATAAAAAATCAATTTTACTGTAGTGATATATTCTTAAAGTGACTCTGTTATCTTCATATTAATATCAATTGTTGTTTATTTGTTTAAACTATTACAATAAACATTTAATAAATAATTATAATTCATTTTATCAACAAAAAAATGGTTTGAAAACCATATTATTTAAATATAATTTTATATTTAAAATTTCATTTAAATGTTATTATAACTAATGAAAAAATTTATTATTTTTTTAATTTAATAAATATATTAATAAATAAATAACTTAATTTATTATATTTTATTGTACTTAAAAAACCGTAAAAAATAATTTTTTAAGATCAAACAAACAGACAAACAAAGAAAAATTAATATTATTTTGATAAAATCAATTATATTATTATGTATTATAATGAATTATAATATATTATTAAATATATTCATTTATAATAGATAAACATTAATTCAATAGTTGTTCAGAAATGCGTTTTTTGTTTGTATATTAACAATAAAAAAACATATTTGGGTCATGATATTTATTTTGGAAATAATTCCACAGTTTTATAGTAGATGAATTGGTAAAAATTATTTTTGTAATAACAAGACATAAATAATTATCTTTTACCACAAATGAACAAATAGCTTGATATTATATATATTTTACTTTAAAAAATATAACATTTTACCATTTTATTAAGTTGAAAAAGATGTTTAAAAAAATTAATTTAAAAAATTGATGTTGTTTTAACTTAAATAGAAAGACAAGAGGATGGTTTTATTATAGTTTATTTTAATTCATTCTTAATTATATTTTTTTCGATGCTTTATTTGACTAAATATAAATTTCAAATTCCAAAACGGGTTTGTTTTCATTGTCAATTGATAATTCTTTTTGCACAATTGTATTTAATTTAAACATAGAAATTCTAACAAACGGGAATTTCAAAGTATCTTTAATTTGTGATGGCATTTGATAAAATTGGGTTGTTTCTCTTAAAAAGAGTGTTTTAAATTAAAAAATAACACTGTTTTGTTGTAAATAAATATTTTTATTGATAAAATAGTCGTGTTTTGATTAATTTTTAAAGAGAAAATGAATTAATAACAATAGTTACATTACCAGAATAAATAGTTTGTAGAATTAAGACTAAAATGATTTTTTTTATTAAATAATTAGTTTTTATCCAGTGTTAAAAACAATCTTTGTTTCGAGTGTTATTAATTAACTTTGTGTTTCAGAAAAAAAAAATATGTTTTTCGTTTTTATTTTGATAAACAATCCAGACAACATTTTATTTGTTTTTTGACCAAATTATTTATTTTTATTTACATTGAAAAAAATCCATTTTAAAAATATAAAATAAAACAAACCAAGAATACAACGAAAAAACACAATATAAATAGATGATCTGTAAAAAATATTTGACAAAGATTAATAATTGAAATATAACCCTCGTGGTTTATAGAAACATTTTTAGTTTCTCCACGAGGGTTAACATCGGAGCGAATAGGAAGGGAAGAAAACCCAGATATGAAGCGAAAAC